CCCAGTTATTGATCCCTCTACTAAGGGGAAATATTTCTCCCTATGTATAATTTTGTACAAATCAGGTAGCTCCCCACACAGCCTTCACTCTTCAAAGGAAACCAACCCTAGCCTATCTAATCTGTCTTCATAGCAGAATCACTCCAGCCCAGACAACATCCTGGTGAATCTCCTCTGCACCTTTTCCAATGTAATCGCACCCCTCCAGCAGTGCGGCAACCAGAACCACACTCGTACCCTGGCTGTGATCCAGCTAATGCTACATACAGCTCCATTGTAACTTCCCACTTTTGTATTTACTGCCTTGACTAATAAAGGCAAGCATCCCATTTGACTTCTTAACTCCCTTATCCATGGGCATGCACACCGAGTTCCCTTTAGTCCTTTGTACTTCCTCGGATCTTACCATTCAACTTGCACTCCCTTGCTTTGTTAGACCTCCTTAATGCATCACTCCACACTTTTCAGGATTAAATTCCATTTGGCACTGTTCAGCCCATCTGACCAGCCTGTCTATGTCATCCTATAATCTAAGGCTTAATTCCTCGCTATTTAACACATCACTAATTTTTGTGTTACTTGCAAACTTTACTGATCGTACCTCCTACATTTATGCCTAGATTATTAATGTATACAACAAACAACAAAGGTGAGGAAAAGTCAGCGAACTATAGACCAGTGAGCCTGACGTCAGTGGTGGGCAAATTGTTGGAGGCGATCCTGAGGGACAAGATTTACATGTATTTGGAAAGGAAAGGACTGATTAAGAATAGTCCACATGGCTTTGTGTGTGGGAAGTCCTGTCTCACTAACTTAATTGAGTTTTTTGAAGAAGTAACAAGTAGGATTGATGAGGGCAGAGTGGTAGACGTGATCTATATGGACTTTCAGTAAGGCGTTCAACTATGTTCTACATGGTAGGCTGGTTAGCAATGTTAGATTACATGGAATTCAGGAAGAACTAGCCATTTGGATATAGAACAGGCTCAAAGGTAGAAGACAGAGAGCGGTGATGGAGGGTTGCTTTTCAGACTGGATGTCTGTGACCAGCACTGTGCCACAAGGATCAGTGCTGAGTCCACAGCTTTTCATCATCTATATAAATGATTTGGATGTGAACGGAGGTGATTTGGAGGTACAGTTAGTAAGTTTGCAGATGACTCCAAAATTGGCAGTGTATGGGTCAGCCAAGAAGGTTGCCTCAAAGTACAACGCGACCTTGATCAGATGGGCCAATGGGCCAAGGGGTGGCAGATGGAGTTTAATTTAGATGAATGTGAGGTGTTGCATTTTGCTAAGGCAAATCAGGGCAGGACTTATACACTTATTGGTAAGGTCCTGGAAAATATTGCTGAACAAAGAGACTTTGGAGTGCAGGTTCATAGTTCGTTGAAAATGGAGTCGCAGGTAGATAGGATAGTGAAGAAGGCATTTGGTATGTTTGCTTTTATTGGTCAGTGCATTGAGTATAGGAGTTGGAAGGTCATGTTGAGGCTTTACGGGACAGTAGTTAGGCCACTTTTAGAACACTGCATGCAATTCTGGCCTCCCTGCTACAGGAAGGATGTTGTGAAACTTGAAAGGATTCAGAAAAGATTTAAAAGGATGTTCAGGGTTTGAGTGAAGATTTGTAGCTCGGGTGCTGGTTGTAGATATTGGTGTGTTTGCTGAGCTGGGAGGTTTGCTAACAGACATTTCATCCCCTTACTAGGTGACATCCTCAGTGCTGTGGAGCATCCTGTGAAACGCTGTTGTCTTGTGCCGGTTCGAATTTATATGGTCTGATTTTTGCTGCTTCCGATAGGTGCCGGTTCAGGCAGTGCGTTTTAATGGTCGGTATATCAGGTCTAATTCAATGTGTTTGTTGGTGGAGTCTGTGAATGAATGCCAATCCTCCAACAGTTCCCTGGCTGTCCTCTGTTTGGCTTGTCCTATGATGGTGGTGTTGTCCCAGCTGAAAGTGTGTTTTTTCTCGTCTGTGTGTATTGAAACCAAGGACGTCTGTTCGTGTCGTTTAGTTGCTAGCTGGTGTTCATGGATGCAGGTTGCTAGTTGTCTGCTTGTTTGTCCCATGTAGTGTTTTGTGCAGTCTCTGCATACTGAAACTACTGGACTTCTGCTTAACAACAGAGTTTACATTCAACAGCAAGCTACATGAGCAGATCAATGAGACTCCCATGGGCTCACCCATCTCCGGATTGATAGCTGAGGCAGTCATGCAAAGAACAAACAGCCCTCCCACAGATCCAACCCAAGCTCTGGATCAGATACACGGATAGCACTTTTGTAATTATGAAAAGAACAGAAATTGAGAACACCCATCCACTCTTCAACACCATACTCACAGAGAAGAGGAAAACAACAACAAACTCACATTCCTGAATGTGATGGTGGAAAGAAAACAGAATGGTGACTTCACTACAAAAGTGTACAGGAAATTCACACATACTGACCAGGTCTTAAACTATCACAGCAACCAGCCCAACTCACACAAGAAGAGCTGTGTTGGGACCCTGTTCAAAAGGGCCGCTACCCATTGCGGCATATCCGATCTGCAGAAGGAAGAAGAAGAACACCTCTACAAGGTCTTTACCAGGAATGGATACCCTCGCAACTTCATCCACAGATGCCGAGCCAACAGCCAACACAACCAGGACACACCAAAACCCCAAACAATAGCCACTATACCATATATAAAAAACACCTCAGAACTGACAGCCAGACTGCTCAGACCACTAGGAATCATGAGAGTAAAGAAACCGGCAGCCACAGTAAGACAGCCACTGACCAGGGTTAAAGACCCAAAAGATACCATGGACAGGACAAATGTGGATTACAAGATACCATGCAGAGACTGCACAAAACAATACATGGCAGACAACTAGCAACCTGCATCCACGAACACCAGCTAGCAACTAAACGACACAACCAGATGTCCTTCGTTTCAATACTCATAGACGAGAAAAACCACACTTTCAGCTGGGACAACACCACTATCATTGGACAAGCCAAACAGAGGACAGCCAGGGAATTTTTGGAGGCTTGGCATTTATCTGTGCACTCCATCAACAAACACATTGAATTAGACCCAATATACCAACCATTACAACACACAGCCGGAACCAGCACCTACCAGAAGCAGCAAAAACCATACCATATAAATTTGAACCGGCACAAGACAACAGCGCTTCACAGGAGTCTCCACAGCACTGAGGATGTCACCTAGTAAGGTGACAAAACATCCACTATCAAACCTCCCAGCTCAGCAAACACACCAACATCTATTACAAGGATGATGTCAGGGTAGGAGGGGTTCAGCTATAGGGAGAGGATGAATAGGCTGAGGCTATTTTCCCTGGAGTGTCGGAGGCTAAGGAATGACCTTTACAGGTTCATAAAATCATGAGGGGCATGAATGGGGTGAATAGGCAAGGTCTCTTCCCCCGGGTAGAGGAGCCCAAAACCAGAGGGCATAGGTTTAAGGTGAGAGGGGAAAGATTTAAAAGGAACCTAAGGTGCAATGTTTTCACGCAGAGGGTGGTGCATGTATGGAATGAGCTGCCAGAGGAAGTGGTGGAGGCTGGTACAATTATAATACTTAAAAGGCTTCTGGATGGGTATATGAATAGGAAGGGTTTAGAGGGATACGGGTCAAATGCTGGCAAAAGGGGTTACATTAATTTAGGATATCTGGTCAGCATGCATGTGTGGGACTGAAGGGTTTTTCCATGCTGTACAGCTCTATGGACTCTATGGCCCTTCACTGAACTCTGTGGTATGCCACTGGACAGACTTCTAGATGGTTGAGCCTATGTCAGTGATGTTCTCGGGCCGAGCTGATTGAGTTCCAACACCCACTGTTGCCTTCCTTTGTGCCAGATATGACTCTAACGAATGGAGTTTTCACCAGAAAATGTATACTTCTCTTACACTTCGATTTAATTAAGGTTCTTTGATGCCAGGCTCAGTTAAAAGCTAACTCTTTGGGATCAGTGTCTTGGTTAATGACATAGCTAGGGCTGTGGGTATGGCTTTAAATTAAGAGAGTTAGGGATGGGTCAGGTGAAGAGAGACTTCAAAATCTGAAGAGAAAAGTCAACCAGTTGTAGCTATTTGAGTACGAGAGAAGCAGAGTGAACAAGAAGGACTATGAGTCTTTGCTTCCTCCACCTTTTAAGAAAGAGAGCTTCGGTCTTTAAATGTCTTTAAGGTTAAGGCAGATAGATTTTTGATAAGCAAGGGTGGTGAAAGATTCTCAGGGCTAGACAGGAATATTACCAGATTAGCCAAGATCTTATTGAATATCAGAGCAGGCTCAAGAGGTCAAATGACCTACTCCTACTCCCAAATGCCATGTTCCCATGCAAGAGGCAAAGATCGAGTTTAACATGAATAGTGCAACAGCGGATAAGGTCCATTCAAAGAAAAACAGTGAAAAGAAAACTCTCTTTTTTGGAATGCCCGAAGCCTTTTAATAATATAAGGACACAAATAGAGATGAATAATTTAGATGTGATGGCCTCCAGTTTTTACAAACCAGCAGCGGGAATGGAGTTTCTCCAGTGAGCAAATCTGATCCGGAGTCTCTCTGGGCCAAATCTGATCCGGAGTCCCTCCGGGAGAAGGGGGGCAAAGCTGATCCGGAGTTTCTCTGGGAGAAGGGGGGCAAAGCTGATCCGGAGTCTCTCTGGGGCAAATCTGATCCGGAGTCTCTCCGGGAAAAGGGGGGCAAAGCTGATCCGGAGTAACTCTCAGAAATCGCACTGGACTGGAGTAATTCCAGGACATGGCAGTGATCCAGAGTAACTAACTCAACAATGAATCCATTCCCCGGCAGTGATCCCAGCAATTCCAGGGGACCGCTGCTGATCCAGCTCAATGTGGAATAATTTTAGGGACCCGCATAAACTCCCAGTAAATGGCGGAGATTGGACCGAACTGCTGGGACCGTGCTGTATCCCGCACTGGAGCGGATTGCTATGGGGATTGTGTACGGTATCCATGGAGATGGGAGGATCAGGGCAGAGTTTGTTTGTTGGATTTAATCTAAACTCAAAGACAACGAGTGAACCTCCTCGGCACGGTGCGAACACAGAGGGTCAGTAAATAGCTCAAACCCCTGCCTCCTCCCCAAACCCACTGCCTCCTCCCCAAACCCACTGCCTCTCCCAACCCCACTGCCTCTCCCCAAACCCACTGCCTCCTCCCCAAACCCATTGCCTCCTCCTCAAACCCACTGCCTCTCCCCTCAACTCACTGCCTCCTCCCCAAACCCACTGCCTCTCCCCAAACCCACTGCTTCTCCCCAAACCCACTGATCCTCCCTTCAACCCACTGCCTTCTCCCCTCAAACCCACTGACCCATCCACTCAAACCCATTCCCCCCTCCCAAAATCCACTGCCTCTCCTCAAACCTACTGCCCCCTCTCCTCAAACCTACTGCACCCTCTCCTCAAACCCACTCCCCTTGTCCTCAACCCACTGCCTCTTCCCAAGCCCACTGCTGCTCTCCTCCAACTCACTGCCTCTTCCCAACCCAGTGCCCCCTCCCCTCAAACCCACTTCCCCTCCCCTCAAACTCACTGCCCCCTCCCTTCAAACCCAATCCACCTCTCCTCAACCCACTGCCTTTCTCCAAACCCACTGCCCCTTTCTCAAACCCACTGCCCCTGAAATACCGGTTATTGAAACGATAAAACATTGAAAGACGTTTTACTTCTCTATCGTGCGCCTTTCCTTGCACTGAGCTACAAACTGGGTGAAAGAAAAGGTGTCTTTGTTGAAGTAGTAATGATAGATTTTCTCTCCGGAAGGTGTTGTCAGCTTAAACGCCGACATGAGTTCCGAGTGGGTGGGAAACTGGAGACCGCACCGGCCTCGAGGACCGATTGCAGCTTTGTACGGCAGTCCCGGTCCTAAGTATGGACTCCCCAGTTCAATAGGTAGGTGCTAAAATACACATCTCCGGCCCAAGCGCTCAGTATATATGTGCAGGCTGCTGTGCTGCCCCCCGCTTTCTTTCAGAAAACTGACATCTCAGCAGAGAGCAGGTGCTACAGGAGGAAGAGTGAAAACATACAGATTACTCTGCTCCTATAATGCTGCTTGGCCTGCTGTGTTCATCCAGCCCTGCACCTTGTTGTCTCGGATTCTCCAGCATCTGCAGTTCCTACTATCTCAGATTTCTCTGTGCGCTGGCATTTAAAACACCCATTTCAGAAGCTACAATAATAAAGGCATAATAATATGGTACGGTGTTAATATCCCTACCCCCGGCCTAGATGGTTTTGGGGGTTCAAGTCATACTTGCCCCAAGAGATGTCATAACATTTCTGGAACAGATAGACTGAAAGCAATCGAATCCGAAAGCTCAGGCCTGAGTTGAAGTTCTCGGGAAGGAAAGAAGAGCTGAACTGGTAATTAATAAGTTTTTTTTTAAATGGAAATAAGCATCTTACTGGCGCATGTCTCTGGCTGTGTGGGTTAATCTGGGGACAGACCACAGCTAAAGGTCAAGGTGGATCAGTATCGCTCATCCTTTATAAACGGGAGAAAGCACATGCAACTTATTCCATTCTCCAGCAAGTCCCAAAGTGTAGTTACTGTTAGATAGGAAAACACAAGAAAAGCAGAAACCAAAATATATGATTTGTCCTTCTCTCCAAATAATTCCGTCTTTATTCATTTAAGATGCTTTGATCGAGCTCCTGGTCACCTCATAACATTTCCAACAGGATCAACATCTTGGGTGTAAAAATTGACCAGACACTGAACCAGCTACGCACATACTGTGGTTGCAAGATCAGGTTAGAAACTCCAAGAAATTGGGAATTGATACAAATCTAGTAAGCACCTGTAGATATGAGATGCCACGCTATAAATCAGGACTGAACTAACATCAACCAGTCTTACTTCAAACGTTTAGAATTTAACAGACTGAACGAAAACTATCAACAAGGTACTTCTGACAGTGAAAAAGGCAAAGGCTGCAAGTAAGGGAGCAGGGTGCAGGGAAGAAATGTGAGGAGTCAAGGAGAGAATTACTGCAGACACTTGTGTGGGTAGTTGTCTGTTACCGAGCGACGACCGTGTCTTTCTGTAAACAATTACTAATCAGTCCTCAGAGAGCTCAGAATGCGGACAAAAGCACACATTTAATATGGTGATCACACATCCTCATGGGATAGATTTATGGATCTGAATGTGATGCAGTTACAGTGTTTATCTCCGAACGTTATTTAAGCCAATTGACCTCCATCAGCTAAAACCACTTCTTGAATAGATTTGAAACACTTCCTAATTGCCTACAGAATTGATTGGGTGAAACTGTTTCCAGTGGCAGGAGGGTCGGTAATCAGAGGACACAGGTTTAACATAATTGGTACAAAGACCATCGGGGAGATGAGGAGAAATATTTTTACACAGTCGATTGTTATGATCTGGAATGTACTGCCTGAAAGGCCAGTGGACTCAGTTGTAATTATGAAAGGGAAATTGGTTAGAATAAAATAGAATAGAATATCCTTTACTGTCACTTGTACTCCAGTGCAGAAGTACAGTGAAAAGTTTTTACAATGGTTGCCTTTTAATAGCGCCATTTTAGGTACAAGTACCTAGGTACAAATCTTACCAAGTAAAAAAAAAATGTTGTTATACAAGAGGATTAAAAGGAAAGGATTTACATGACAGTCTGGTAAGAGTACCGAACAGCAGCAGCTCAGCACGTGGCACCAGACCCAAATCCAACAACGGTCCCACATCACACCAGCCTCCAGCCCGCCCCTCACCGGCACTCAGCAGCAATAAGATGTCGTGCTTGACCGGGATTGGCCCCCCTTGCACCGCTCCCGCACTTGGGATTCCTCACGCGGTATTCTGGGGCTCACACCCACACGCTTAAATAATTGAAAAGGAAAAAAAGATGTACATTGCTATGGGGAAAGAATGAGTGGTGGTGGAAAGGGGAGGTTGGGGTTTATGACACTGATTGGAGAGCTCTTTCAAAGACACAGAACAGGTGCAATGGGTAGAATAGCCTCTGTTAATGCTGCATTATTCCATAAGCAGAATTGCTCTAATGGAGACAGTGTCTCAATGCCGTGCTCAAATCCAGACTATGCAACCACATGGGCTGATGAAAGGACATCATTGAGGATCTTCCCATCTGCAACAATTAACATTAGTCAGGCAGTTCTTTCGGTTTTTGCAAAGGCGTAGAGATAGGCTAGGTGAGTGATCAAAATTTGGCAGATGGAGTATAATATAAAAAAATATGAACTTACTCACTTTGGCAAGAGAAACAGAAAAGCTGAAAATTATTTAAATGGAGAGAGAGTTTACAGAACTCTGAGATACAGAAGGATTTAGGTGTTCTGGTATGAATCACATGCAGTTAGTGTGAAAGTAAGTTAAGTGATTAGGAAGGCAACTGAAATGTTGTTCATTGCAACAGGAATGGAGTCATCAGGGTCATCAGGGTAGGCAGGAATGTGGAATTTAGGCCATAATCAGATCATCATAACCTTAATGAATGACAGATCAGGCTCAAAATCCTTACCACTGCTCCTGACATGTATGTCAGTTGTTTGGCTGTGAGTCATAGAGATGTACAGCATGGAAACAGACGCTTTGGTCCAACTCATTGATGCCAACCAGATATCCTAGATAAATCTAGTCCCGTTTGCCAGCATTTGGCCCATATACCTCGAAACCATTCCTATTCATATACACATCCAGATGCCTTTTAAATGTTGTAATTGTACCAGGCTCCACCACTTCTCTGGCAGCTCATTCAATACACACGTGACCCTCTTTGTGAAACAGTTGCCCTAAGGTCCCTTTTAAATCTTTCCCCTCTCACCTTAAACCAACGCCCTCTAGTTTTTGACTCCCCCACCCTTGGGAAAAGACCTTGTCCATTTATCCTATCCATTCCCCTCACGATTTCATGAACCTCTACATGGTCATCCCTCAGCCTCTGACGCTTCAGGGAAAATAGCCCCAGCCTATTCAGTCTCTCCCTATAGCTCAAAGCCTCCAAATCTGGTAACATCCTTCGAAATATTTCCTGAACCCTTTGCTGTTGAGGATGGTCATTTAAAAAGGGATAGCACCAAGCACACATTATTGCTTGACATCAGTTCTGACAGGAAAGGAATCTGACTCTAGTCCATTACAGAGAATAGCGACAGTCATTTTGTCATGAGAAACCATCTGACCTTGATGTCTTTCTGCAGACATGCAACATTGCCCAGGATCTTCCAGAGAGTTTCCTGTTTGGCTGAGTCAACAGCTTTCACTCGATTGATGAAGGTCATTTAGAGAACAAGGTTTTACTCACAACATTTCTCTTTGATCTGCTGAATGGTAAAGATCAGACCTGAAATGCTTTGTGATGCTCTGAAACCACACTGGTATTCTGGCAGAAAGGCTTCTGCCAGTGGAAGTAGGCAGTCCAATGATACTCTGGCAAGGATTTTGCTTGTGGTGGAGAGTAGAGCTATGCCTCTGTAGCTGTCACATTTATTCCTTTTTTCTTTTTGAATATTGAGAGAATGTTGGCATTCTTTAGGCCTTCTGAGAGCCTCACTTCATGCCAATGTTGCAAGAAGAGTAAATATAGACAGTGCACAACTGAATCTCTGCCAAGCCTCAATACCCCTGCTGAGATATCACCTGCACTAGGAGCCTTACTGTTCTTGGTTTGTACAATGGCTTGGTGAATTTCGTCAGCGTTGAGGTTTGGCAAGGGAACAATCACTAGGTGTTGGCATTGGTCCATTAGGCTCTTGTACTATAAAAAATCCAATCAATGACCCACCACAGATAGAACAAAGGGTCTCCAGGCCCCTTCAGCCAATTTGTTCATTGTATTGTGCACCCATTCCCCACATCTCATTGTCTCTTCACTCTGACCCACTGCCTCTTCATTCAAACTCTCAATCTTCATCCTGCCTCTCTACTCCTACCAATCAGTCTGATAGTAATAACGCTTACCTGTCCAGGTTATTCCCAGCATGATGCTACAAAATACAAGTCCCCAGCATACAGCTTTGGAGTACCTCACGCCAGATTCACCGTGGACAGTTCACCAGGTCCAGCCTACCTCATCCCATCGCTGCTCACTAGGAAAGGAAAGGATGGGGCGCCAGCCTATTCCCTCTACGGTCGACCAAAGGACAACAATCCATTCCAGACCCCAGGTCCAGGTAACCCTGACACTTGGTTAGAGAGTTTTTTTTCCTTTATTCATTCATGGGATGAGGGCGTCGCTGGCTTGGCAGCATTTATTGCCCATCCCCAATTGCTCACAGGGCAGTTAAGAGTCAACCACATTGCTGTGGGTCTGGAGTCTCATGTAGGCCAGACTGGGTAAGGATGGCAGTTTCCTTCCCTAAAGGACATTAGTGAACTGGATGGGTTTTTCCAACAATCAACAATGGATTCATAGTCATCATTAGACTCTTAATTCCAGATATTTATTGAATTCAAATTCCACCACCTGCCATGACAGGATTCAAACCCAGGTTCCCAGAACATTAGCTGGGTCTCTGAATTAACAGTCCAGTGATAATATCACTAGGCCATTTGCCTCCCCATGAATATGAATGTGAATATGAATATGAATATGTTGCTGCATTAGGAAATGAGAAGGCTATTGCTTGGCTTAGGGGGTTGCATTTGCTAAATAAACACAATGATTTGTCAGGTGTTGACATATCTGATTTCCATGCAGGTACCTACTCCCCAGAGAAGGCTGGGAAATCAGCCTTCAGTGCAGCTCCTTCATTTTCCATCGCTGGGAGGACAAAAGGTTTCAGGACTGACCAGTCACCAGGTGTTTGTCACTTTTCTTGTCTTGTTCACCGTTAGAGAGCTAAGCCTGGCCATTCAATGGTTCAGCATTTTACAGCAGTCGAGTGATTCGTTGTTTGGATAAATTCACCAGGAAAACTAACTAATTTGCTGACCAATTTCATTGAATTTCATCATATTGTTACAGAATTTCTTGTTTCAATTCATTCCGTGGAACAAATCCATTAACGAAAAGGGTCTTGATTCTTGTTCCAGGTCCTGCAGCCTACTTACTGCCTTCTGTACTAGGCTCGAACATTGTAAGCAAATCGTCTTCCGCCAATTTCTCCCTTAGTGGACGAAATAAAGTTGGCAGTTTCCATGAGGACTTCCAGAAGGTAACATCTATCCACAGCTGGTTCCAAACATGTCTTTCACTTCAGTAATATCACTTAGCATTTGGTGTGAGCATCTTGCATTTGAGCAGTAATCTCAGCTCCACAATGCCTGAAGCAAATAGCAACACACAGATCCATTCAGACCCATCTGAGGGTTCGTGGGTAGTCACAGTGCTTTGGATTGTTAGAATGCTCCTGGTTAGTTCAATGCATACAAAATATCTCCTCATTTGATCACAAGTAAAACAAAGGTCTTATAAACAGGTATGTGGAATTCAAGTAGAGACAAGCCATGATCTCATTTAATGGTAGAACAGGTTGGAAGGTCAAAATGGTCTCCTATGTTCCTGGGATGTGAGTGCCGATAACAATAACAATAGTGGCATGATGGCTCAGTGGTTAACACTGCTGCTGTCTCACAGCACCAGGGACCTGGGTTTGATTCTACCCTTGGGCGACTGCCTGTTTGGAGTTTGCATGTTTTCCCTGTGTCTGCGTGGGTTTCCACCGGTTGCTCCCATTTCCTCCCACAGTCCAAAGATGTGCAGTGTCGGTGGATTAGCTGTGCTAAATTGCCCATAGTGTTCAGGGGTATAGGTGGGTTAGCCATGGGAAATGCAGAGTTACAGGGATAGGGCTGGGGATTGGGTCTGGTGGGATGCTCTTCAGAGGGTCAATGTGGACCCATTGGTCGAATGGCCTGTTTCCACACTATGGGGATTCTGTGGAAAGCTAGCCTGTATTGCCCATCCATAATTACCATTGAGAAAGTGCTGAAGATCTCTTTTCTGGAACTGCTACAGTCCATATTGTTCTTCTCCATGGAAATCTTTAGGTAAAAAGCGAAAGATTTATACAATCTGAACAAAAAACCAGAGCATACAGATATTTTATTTTGAATTATAATTTGGAGAAAATTGAAGTTTGGATAGATTTGTCACAAAGAATAAACCAGTTGTTTTTGACACAGCTTGTAGGTAAAATGGAATTATGTGTTTTCTTTTGTTGGAACTGAATTTGATATTTCGTATTCGTATGAGGCATCTTTTGGGAAATTAAAATGAGAGTAAGTACCCAGCAACAAAGTTTGGATTATTTTAGGTAAAGTTCATCACTGAACTGAAAGGAGAGAGATCAGTTGGGATAGAGCTGCAAGACGCCTGTAAGCTAGCCAGATCCTTTCCTCTTTTTTAATTGGAAAAGTTATAACACTCAAAGACTGAAGACAGAAATGAAACTTCTAATCCAAGCCAAGGCCTAGTTCCAACTGACCAGCTACCAAATTGAGGATCGCCGCAGTTGCAGTCAATAACATGATATCGTTACCAAAAATCAAAACAAACAATGACAAAACAAAAGTCACCTCATTTCCTCATTCTGATTGGACTTTTGATCTACCGACTTTGTGCGTTTTTTTGCCTATATTTTCTACCCACGATATTCCTAAATATATTAAGGGCTGTTTGTGTAATAAATAAGTTGTTGGCTTTCTTGTTCACTGATGGAACTTGGTGAGAGTTTACTTTATCTTCGTGGCCGCAGTCAGACATTGACCAATCTAGATATTAAATTTGTTATGTTTCACATTTGTGATGACTAATAAGATATTGGGACTTGATTCTGGTGCACTAATCCAACCAGGAAATGTGACAACGTAAAACAATTCCTCAGGTCAAAAAGCATCTTTCAAGGAAATGACATCAAATGCCAAAGTAGTGACTGCTGGTCACTTGCGGAGATTAGAACACTTCTATAAGGTTAGACTGAACACCCCCTTACTAACCCAACCATAAGAATAGGAAATGGAGTGGAAGCTTTATGTAGACAAGCCTTATGCCTGAATCCAAAGGTTCAAGTCCCAGCTGAGAGAACACAAATTCACTGTTGTAATATAGGAAACACAACAACCATTTTTCACATAGTTAGATCCCACAAATAGCAATGAGATAAAATAATCTGTTTTAGTGAAGTTTGGTTAAGGGATAAATACTGAGACACTGGCAGGAGCACCCTTATTTTGTTTTGTCTACCCAAAAGGGCAGACCTTAATACCTTATCTGAAGTATGGAAACTGACAGTACAACAAAGTTCCACACTGGAAATGTTGTGATTGAGGTCAGAAGATGTGGAGTCATAGGACAATTGTATTCATGCTAATACTGAGACGGGTTTAATGACCAAATCGTAAATGATTCTCTAGGCAAGAGTGATCCTGACATGATAGAATTTTGTATTAAGTTTGAAGCTGAAAAATTTGTGTCTGAAACTAGTGTCTTAAACTGAAATAAGGACAATAGGGTTAGCTAATATGGAATGGAAAGAAAAAGCTTAAAAGCTAGAGTGGTGGAGAAACAAAGATAGATTTTTAAGAGATATTTCATAACTCTCAACGAAATAAATTCCCTTTAGAAAGAGAGGACCTATGGGAAGGGCACACCATCCTTGGCTAACTAAGATATTAATTATGATATCGTACTGAAAGATAAGATGTAAAATGCTACAAATGTTAGTGGTGGGTCCAGAAAATTGGAAAATCTCAGAAACCAGTAATAAGGTCAAAAATACAGAGAAATTGGCAGATGAGGAAAATCTATCAAGAAATTTGAAAAGATAGTAAAACCTGATTGAAGTATTTGAAAACGAAAGGAGTAGCTAAAGTAAGCATTGGTCCCTTAATGGCTAACATTGGAGAATTAATACTGAGAGCAAGGAAATGGCAGAAATTTTGAACATTTCTTTTGTATCCATCTTCAGAGTAAAAGACACGGAAAATATCCTAAGAAAGTGATATATCAAGAAACAGAAGGGAGGATCTTAAACAATTATCATCACTAGAGAAAAAGTACTAGGAGTACTAGTGAGACTGAAGGCTGACAGGTACCCTGGATACAATGACCTGCATCTAGAATCTTAAAGGTAGGGCCTGCAGAGACAGTGGATGCATTGATTGTTATCTTTGAATACTGCCCGGATTCTGTAAAGGTCCCAGAATTTAGAAAACAGCAAATATAACACCATTGTTACAAAAGGACAGAGACAGAAATTGGGAAACCATAGGCCAGTTAAGTCTTATATCTGCCATTTGGAAAATGCTAGAACTCATTATTAAGGAGTTGATAATAGGGCATTTAGAAAATCATTACACAATCAAACAGTGTCTGTGAAAGGGAAATAGTATTTAGGAAAAAAAGAGATGATCTCACTGAAATATACAGGAGTTTATCAAGACTTGACAGGGTACACTCTGAGCAGTTGTTTCCCCTGCTCCGGGGAATCTAGCTCAGAGGGACAATTTTGGGATAATGGATTGATTATTTAAGAATGGGATGAGGAGAAATTTCTTCAAAGGGTTACTAATCCTCAGAATTCTGCACCTCAGTGGGTTGTGAATGCAGCATTGTCCGATATGGTTAAAGCTGAGATAAACAGATTTCTGATCTCTAAGAATCAAACAACATGTGGAGCAGCAGGAAGGTGAAACTGAAGCCAAAGATTAGCTATGAGACAACAAGGTGTAGGGCTGGATGAACACAGCAGGCCAAGCAGCATCATAGGAGCAGAGAGGCTGACGTTTTGGGCCTAGACCCTTCATCAGAAAAGGGGGAGGGGAAGGGGGTTCTGAAATAAATAGGGAGAGAGAGGGAGGCGAATAGAAGCTGGATAGAGGAGAGGATAGGTGGAGAGGAAACAAACAGGTCGAAGAGGCGGGGATGGAGCCAGTAAAGGTGAGTGTAGGTGGGGAGTTAGGAAGGGGATAGGTCAGTCCAGGGAGGA